AAACAAAGAATAGGAGGAACTCCACCACTCATGCAGGATCAGCTTTATCAGTAAAATAAATGTGAGAATATTCATATTAGACCAGTACCTCATTCCTCTAGGCAGGAGACTTTTAATCACCACCTTCACCAGTGTACATAATAATCATTTTAGATGCAGATTTTATAGGTGTACAAATTTATGTTCACATTTTTTTTTTCTTTACAGTTGGACAAGTGGCTAGCAGCCTCACAGGGCACATTTACTTACCAGCTTTACCCTATCACATATCCAGAAAATTACAATGTTGAAGAATGGAAGAAAGTATTCAAACCTTGTGCCACTCAGAGGTTATTTTTACCAGTAAGGTTGCAGCTCACAAAAATTTATTCTAGTAAAAACATTCAGAACTGCCGCAGCATTGACATTTTAGGCATAGAAGTATGTTAAGCAGAGTACAGTTTGTTTCATGTGTGGAAACACACCGAGTCAAATCTAATGACATTTTATGGACATATTTGCTATTTTTTTAAATATATGTAATCTATGTTTGAAAATAACTTGAAACCTTCAACTGAAACCACAAAATAAATTGTTTTCAGTATGTCATGAAAGACGTTGATTCTTTGCTGTATGTGGACACAGACATTTTATTCATGCGCCCTTTTGATGACATCTGGAGCTTTTTCAAAGAGTTTAACTCCAGCCATATAGCAGCCCTTGCACCTGAACACATGGATGGAGCAGCAGGCTGGTACAATAGATTTGCTATGCATCCATACTATGGACCTCTGGGTAGGTTGTTATTTTTACACATTTCATTTGCATTTCTGCAATTTCTTACGTATACATTTTTTAAATTTACAGACACAGATGCGTCTGTTCTTATAGCCATCACTTGTGTCTGTTATTGCTGCCGTAGCCACTGCCGCCATGCACTTTTATAGATAACATGATAAGTGGAAAACCGTTTCACCTATTGTCTTCAAACTTAAAGAACTGATGAATATTCATAAAGTACAGGTTGAATTCCAAAACATTTGATCAGATCATTTTTCCAATGTTGTGCTGTGTTTTTTTTTTTTTTTTTTTGGTTGTCCAGCATATATGCAATACAGATAACACATTAAGTGGTAACCAGTTTGATCTGTTGTCTTCAAACTTAAAAGTGATCAAAAATATAGGTCAAGTGCGAAAACCAGCCTGATTCAATTATTTTTCTTGAAGTTATGAACTTTTTATTGAAATGTTCATTTTTCACATATTGGCACTTTCAATGGTAATGTTAGAACTCCCATAGGCGTGGAGCTGTATGGAAGTTACAATTTCATTTTAAAGCAATATCGCATTAAAATTGCAAAAAAGTATTTTGTGCAGTGCATCCACAAATGCTATGAAAAGAAAACTGTTTTACTTTTTATTTGTAACTTACAAGAATGATTCTTAAGATTGACATACAGCTCAAACTGGAAAACTACCTTGATTTGATTTTTTTCTTGAATTTATAGAATTTTTTTGTGAAATTTTCATTTTTCTCAATGTGGCACCTTTCAGTCTGTGAATTTGAACTCTCATGGGCCTGAAGCCGTATGCTGGTTACATATTCCTAACATCTGTGTTACCAGTCGACTCTGCATAATTAAAATTGGTGTTGATTTTGCTTTTAAGCACATTGTGTTTTTGCATCAAAATTGTCTAAATAACCTATTTTGTGCATAATTTTCTGTTTTTGTCTGTACATTTGACAGCTTTGTGGCCTTGTTTATTCAGTTCCATAGGCTGAAGGAGATGCCTCAACAAGCCAGATTAAAAAAAAAATTATTTGTTTTGGCATCCTCATAAAGCCTTTTCCTCTCCCAAAGTTTATAAGAAATCCCATACATTTCCTTAGGTCTTTGTCTAGGTGAGTACCACAGGCAGTATAAATAACATGCTTGCATGTATTGTACGCCTTCAGGCATTTCTCTCAGCCTCATGATATGGCCTTGGTATTGAAGAGACAGCATTTTTTGAAAATCAAGTTAAAACAATTGACTTTTTTGCCTAATCTAGTAAATAAACATGGTAAAGAAATAATGAAATAGAAAAAAATTATATTTAAATATGGCAATGGAATTTTTCAATGCTTCATTCACAAAAATACACTGTTACAGGAATGAATTCTGGTGTGATGTTGATGAACTTGACCAGAATGAGGAAGTTTCCATGGATAGAACTGGTCACAAAATTTTATGAGGTGTACAAGCTTAATATTACCTGGGGAGATCAAGACCTCATAAATATTGTATTCCATTTTCACCCAGGTATAAATATAAATATTTCCAGGGATTTGAAAACAGTTATATTTAAGNTTTTTTTTCTTTACAGTTGGACAAGTGGCTAGCAGCCTCACAGGGCACATTTACTTACCAGCTTTACCCTATCACATATCCAGAAAATTACAATGTTGAAGAATGGAAGAAAGTATTCAAACCTTGTGCCACTCAGAGGTTATTTTTACCAGTAAGGTTGCAGCTCACAAAAATTTATTCTAGTAAAAACATTCAGAACTGCCGCAGCATTGACATTTTAGGCATAGAAGTATGTTAAGCAGAGTACAGTTTGTTTCATGTGTGGAAACACACCGAGTCAAATCTAATGACATTTTATGGACATATTTGCTATTTTTTAAAATATATGTAATCTATGTTTGAAAATAACTTGAAACCTTCAACTGAAACCACAAAATAAATTGTTTTCAGTATGTCATGAAAGACGTTGATTCTTTGCTGTATGTGGACACAGACATTTTATTCATGCGCCCTTTTGATGACATCTGGAGCTTTTTCAAAGAGTTTAACTCCAGCCATATAGCAGCCCTTGCACCTGAACACATGGATGGAGCAGCAGGCTGGTACAATAGATTTGCTATGCATCCATACTATGGACCTCTGGGTATGTTGTTATTTTTACACATTTCATTTGCATTTCTGCAATTTCTTACGTATACATTTTTTTAATTTACAGACACAGATGCGTCTGTTCATATAGCCATCACTTGTGTCTGTTATTGCTGCCGTAGCCACTGCCGCCATGCACTTTTATAGATAACATGATAAGTGGAAAACCGTTTCACCTATTGTCTTCAAACTTAAAGAACTGATGAATATTCATTAAGTACAGGTTGAATTCCAAAACATTTTTTTTTTGGTTGTCCAGCATATATGCAATACAGATAACACATTAAGTGGTAACCAGTTTGATCTGTTGTCTTCAAACTTAAAAGTGATCAAAAATATAGGTCAAGTTCGAAAACCAGCCTGATTCAATTATTTTTCTTGAAGTTATGAACTTTTTATTGAAATGTTCATTTTTCACATATTGGCACTTCAATGGTAATGTTAGAACTCCCATAGGCATGGAGCTGTATGGAAGTTACAATTTCATTTTAAAGCAATATCGCATTAAAATTGCAAAAAAGTATTTTGTGCAGTGCATCCACAAATGCTATGAAAAGAAAACTGTTTTACTTTTTATTTGTAACTTACAAGAATGATTCTTAAGATTGACATACAGCTCAAACTGGAAAACTACCTTGATTTGATTTTTTTCTTGAATTTATAGAATTTTTTTGTGAAATTTTCATTTTTCTCAATGTGGCACCTTTCAGTCTGTGAATTATAACTCTCATGGGCCTGAAGCCGTATGCTGGTTACATATTCCTAACATCTGTGTTACCAGTTGACTCTGCATAATTAAAATTGGTGTTGATTTTGCTTTTAAGCACAATGTGTTATTGCATCAAAATTGACTAAATAACCTATTTTGTGCATAATTTTCTGTTTTTGTCTGTACATTTGACAGCTTTGTGGCCTTGTTTATTCAGTGCCATAGGCTGAAGGAGTTGCCTCAACAAGCCAGATTAAAAAAAAAATTATTTGTTTTGGCATCCTCATAAAGCCTTTTCCTCTCCCAAAGTTTATAAGAAATCCCATACATTTCCTTAGGTCATTGTCTAGGTGAGTACCACAGGCAGTATAAATAACATGCTTGCATGTATTGTACGCCTTCAGGCATAAATAAACATGATGTGGCCTTGGTATTGAAGAGACAGCATTTTTTGAAAATCAAGTTAAAACAATTGACTTTTTTGCCTAATCTAGTAAATAAACATGGTAAAGAAATAATGAAATAGAAAAAAATTATATTTAAATATGGCAATGGAATTTTTCAATGCTTCATTCACAAAAATACACTGTTTCAGGAATGAATTCTGGTGTGATGTTGATGAACTTGACCAGAATGAGGAAGTTTCCATGGATAGAACTGGTCACAAAATTTTATGAGGTGTACAAGCTTAATATTACCTGGGGAGATCAAGACCTCATAAATATTGTATTCCATTTTCACCCAGGTATAAATATAAATATTTCCAGGGATTTGAAAACAGTTTTATTTAATACCTAGATGTATCTTTTCCCAAGATTTATACAGTCTAGTAATTTCACTGAATATAATAAGTTTCTTAAATAATTATGATAGAAGTAAATTGTATGTCTTTTGAAATAAAAAAGACTACGTATTAATTCTGTGCAGAATAGAAGCAATTATTGAAAAGTTTGTTACAGAATTTTTCAAGTTTACATTGACAGGCATCTAATTTTTTCTGTCAGAAAATGGTCAAAAATGGAAGATCAATCAACAAAGATAATTTGGAAGACAGTCAGTAAATTATCTCTGGATCTGCCCCTGGGTTACAGAATATTTAAATTTAACTTCTAGCACTTTTTTTCAACTTTTCAGACAAACTGTTTGAGTTAACATGTGATTGGAATTACAGACCAGACCACTGCATGTACATGAGCGTGTGCAAAGATGGAGAAAAAGAGGGTATTTCTGTTGTCCATGGTAATAGAGGAGTGTATCACAATGACAAACAGCCAGTGTTTAAAGCAGTGTATGAAGCCTTTAAACAGGTATGTTTATTATTACAATGTAAATCACATACAATTTATCTTGACTGAATGCTGGTATGTTTTGCATTTATATATATTACTGATATAAGGAAATGCATTACATCTATGTTGGTAATATTATGTGATTTTTGTTTCTGAGAAATGTGAAGTTTACAGACTATACGACCCACATCTAAACAATGTTAAAAGAGAATCCATGTAATGTTGTGGTATGTTCACTTCATATCAGAGTGATGTAATTGATGCTTTACTTCTACACCGCTACACTCTGTCCTTTACAGTTAACCTACTGCATTACCAACACTTATATCAGAATGTTTTCTATCTGTTTATTTCAGTATAATATTGGAGATGACCTCAGGTCTGGCCTTTTACAGCAAATGAGGGAGAATATTGACAAAGGACCAAAAAGTAACTGTGGAGATGTCAAACACATTTTCACCAAACAGTTAGAAAAACAAGTAACACTATTTGAAGAGAGAACGAAGTAACATTGCTAAATGAAGGAAATATACTGCATTTATTTAGTTGTCTTTGCAGGAAGTACAAATGTAGCAGGATGAAATTTTACAAAATGATTTTGTATGTGTAATGGAGGATGACAAGAAATTGTTCTTGAAATGGTGGTTAGAAGTTTTGTTTTTTTATATTTGAATATATTTTTACATGTACTGCATTCCATTGAAAGTCCAATAAAAGATGACGATTACATAAAGTGATTGTTCATATTTTATATGCTGATATAAAAAAACTCGTGATTAAAAAACCTTGCCTTGGAATACTAGACATGGCTTTAAAATTATCAGGAAGCAATAATCAAGCCTCCTTTAAGGTGACTGATAGTAAAAGGACCAAAGTCATAGAAACAAAGCCCTGGGCTTATAAGTTTTTATAAAAAATTTAAACAAACTTCCCAAAAGGCCAATTAAAGGCTGGGATTAAGTACAGTGTCCAACGGATGACGCTCTGGCGCCAATTTGAGGGGAAAAATGCCGTTTTCAGTATTGGGATTTTCTCTATAACCAAGACAGCTATTCAAGTGATTCAAAAGGCCTCATAAAGCTGGGTGAAAGCACTACAGCGGGGTACCAGGGAATTGTCTTAAACCATTTACTTTTGATTTTATCATCTTTTACGTTAAATTACCCCATATTTCAATGGGTTATTCACTTCAAAAGACGATAACTTTCAAACAAACAATTTCCTCTTAAACCCCTGATATCTTGCTGTAGTCCACATTCCCAACAACAATAGGTGCAACTTTTGTAACGATCGGTTGCTCAGATAGTGAGATATACTTGGCAGCGATTCACTTATCTCGTCAATATAGAAAGCTGTTAAAACAGCCAAAAACGTTCACAGGTTGGTTAACAGAGCTCATTAGTCAAATGCTAAGCTGGCAAATTTACCTGTTATCGGTTATACGATCAGGTGGAACCATTGCTCATTGTCATCTAAAAATATTTTGTTTGGGTGCTTTGAAAGGGCAGAAAATCGTGCTTTTGTTACATTTTCCGACCACTCGTTAGGCTTGTAAGCGTGCCGCCATTTTGATTGACAGCTCTGGAGAGGGCCCTAGCCTAGTGATGCCCAGTAGGGTGTCAAGGATATGTAGAAGGAAGTGCTAACAAAGGCGCTTACATTTAACCGCAATTAAGAGGTGTGAAGTTGCATTTGAACGTTTCAATGGCTTTTTCTCGGCAAACGAGTAATTTTACCTGAGAGATTCCTTTTCTGTTATCGGCAAAGTGATCAGATAAAACTGTCTGTCGAGAGCAAGTGGCCGTCACTTGTGTTAATAAGAGTTTTTTGACGGGTAACGCTGCAGGATTATTTTGCACGGCACTTGGTAATCGTCAGATCAACGGAAAAATCCAGTGATTACTTCAGAGCGGTCTCTCTCAAAATGCCAGCTAAGATAAAGGGGAGACGCTCAGCTGCACAAGATTCAGCGGTAAAAGTGGCTGAGAGAAGGCTTTTGAATA